AGTATTAATTATACGTACCTACTAATATATATATATATATATATATATAGTATATATATATAGTTACTATCATATATATATATATATATATATATATACATATATATATAGAGATATATATATATATATTTACATACATACATACATACATACATACATACATATAAACTACACGCACGCAAGCAGGCTCGAACGTATGCATGCATACATACATGCATGAATACATACGTCCATACAATACATACATACGTACATACATACATACATCCATACATCCATACATACATACATACATACATACATACATACATACATAAATACATACATATACATATACACACAAACACACACACACACATATATATATATATATATATATATGTTGATATCTAGATACACATGATCAGCTGTGAAGCACTAAGGGGACATACACCTTTACCTGCATATTCATATTCTGGGTCTCATCGATCAGATTATCTTCCCAGGAATCGGCAGTTTGCTCTTGCGCCATGGTGAACGCGGTAGAGTGTGGTTAAAGCACTCGCTACTTTCTTATTTTACCTATTCAGATTCTATGTCCGCTATATTTATGTTTATACACTGTTCGTAAGAAGCGATGCGTACTTCGATCTGACTCTGTACGATGCTTCCCCCTCTATATAAAAACAAACGATTAGTGTCAAGAAGAAGAGAGAGTCGATTGCAATGATACTCAATTTGATTATATTTATATATATTTTAAATTGTCCGTGTACAGTCCTATTTTTATAACTAATCGGATATTTTTAGATTTGTCCTTCCTACATGTGACCACATGTGAATTTTTTTCCGTAAAGCACTCCAAAATTTGGCGCTACATTCCTGACCTATAACATCGAGTAGTGTGAAATTGTGAATATGTATTCAATTGTTCATTGTCCAATGTCCAGTGATCACAATTCACAGCCCACAGCCTACACAGGAGGGGGCACTGAGACTGAGACTGAGGGCAGTAACTACTACTCTCTCTCTCTCTAGAGAGAGAAGGAGTATGTAGAGAGAGAGGAGAGTGAGAGGGCCTCAGGCTGAGCAAGGGACAGTCGGCCAACAAGAAGGGCCACAGAGTTCCGAGTTCAGTCAGTTCAGTGTTCACAGTGCACACTGCACAAGTTCACTAGCTCACACTCAGCCTCGCAGTCATCCGGACGACTAAAAAATATATGATATGTATGTAGTTTGGAATATTCATGACCGTCTCCTCTTTCTCCCTCACACTATAAATAACAGTCTCTACATATTCTCCGCGCTTGTGTGTGTGACTGTGTGTGTCAGTATGGGTGTGGCTGTGTGCCAGTATGTGTGTGACTGTGAGTGTCAGTATGTGTTTGACTGTGTGTGTCAGTAAGTGTGTGCATGTGAATATGATTTATATATAAAAATAGCTCCCTCTCGCTCTCCCTGACTCCCTCTCTGTGTGTATTTAAAATAAAAAATCTGATGAAAAATCTGAATATGTACTGTATTTAGCTCTTCTCTCCCTCTTTATGACTGAGTGACTGTCTGTCTGTCTCGCCCGCGGTAGAAAGGAGGTCACTGAATTTAAAATAAATACCTTTCTGCGTTGTCACTTGTCTCTCTACTACTACTCTAACTCTAGTCTCCACCACAAAAACATACTCTCATTTTTATTTTTTATTTTAAAAATTTAAAACAAAAGCAGGTGTAAACAAAAAACAAAAAGTCTTGGACGCCTGTCTCCTGGACTTTTAACAGGACTCCTGGCCCTGGACGGGCTGGCCGCCTGCCGCCAGTAAGTGTGAAGTGTGAATGTGATGATTTTTTGTTCGAAAAAGAAAACAGACCCCCCGCTCCACCCTCAGTCCCCACCAGAGTGGGGCCCCCACTGAGCATTTGAGCAAACAGAGAGTCTGAGACTGCGACTTGCTCTGGGTTCTCCCCCTGGGGTGGGCGGGCCGGGCCGGGCCCCAAGCCCCAAGCCCCAAGTGCTTTTTTTATTACTCATTTGACAATGCTTAAGACTGCCTGCATTATAACTGCTTCGAAAAGGCCTACATTATGACCGCCTGCTACGACCACCTTTCTTATCCCTGAGCCTGCTATCCTTTACGCTAAAGCATAAGTAGCCCACGTATTCCTTGGAGTTTTGCGAAAGCACTGATAGTTTAAGCATGCTAGCGGCTTCGCAATACAGCTGAACCCTCTTTGAACATCACTGATAAAGAAAAGTCAGAAATGTATCGCTAAGTAATAGTATTGCCATATTGCTTGGGCACCCTTGACGGGCAGCACAATCTATCCGAGTTCATTTTGGCGCCTAATCCACTTGTAAATTGTCTGCTCTTTGTGTGCACTTGCTCGGGCCTTTCGCTGGAGCATTCCATCAGAAGGACTACTCTGTCAGTGAGTAGCAGAGTCTGTGACAACGTACGCGTTTCACTACCTGACACGTGGACCCGCATTTAGCCGTGACCCATTTTTCATATTCTCCGACCTGGAGGAAATAGTATTGATGTGATGCGTGGCCTTGTCGCTCAACTCGGGTTCATTGGCGACTTTCTCTGCACTGTGAGTCAGAATCGACTACAGAGAGCCTGTTTCGCGGCTATGCCCTAAATTGGGCTCTAAATCGGAGCCGATAGACTGCACAGCAGACCCGAAATTGCGAGTGAAAAAGACTCCATACCACGGCCGCTGTATCGTTCAAGTATGTCGCTGCCCAGTTATGATACCACTCTGATACTAGCGAGGCAGACCTCACACATACTTTCACAGCTCGTTTGAAGAAGACGCTGCATGGACGGGATAACACTCCCACACTTGCGTATCAGGCCTCAATATGTGTTCATCTGATCGATCAAATAACCGCTGTCGCGTTCAAAGCATAATACTGCCATACTTGATTTAAATCGTCGTATATATGTTCATCTGTTAATTCCAATAAACCGCAAAACGAATAAAATAATACGTCACCTGATTTTCAGGCCTCGTATATCCGCCCGCCCGCGGCAATAGAGCAGTATAATCCCCGCCTCTCCACTGTTCCACCGACTAAGAAGAAAACTTCTTATTAAGGTGCCTCATATCGACAAAAGTAAAGTCTTTCTGACTGCGGTACACGGCTCTCTGCATCTCCAGGTCGGTGTGAATAGTTTCGTCCTACCACAGACCTTATTCATACAACCGAGGTTCCTTGATTTGCTTAGAGGGAGTCGGTGTCATGCCAGGGTCTACCGCTGGTTTCCTCCGAGTCATATATTATTAGCGGCCAAGGCAGTTAGGATCGCTTCGGACTACAGTGTTCTATCGCACAATGAGAACAACACTGCGGCCTTTAATGTGGCCTATAAAAACAATGGGGACACGGGCTGTAACTGGTGCGACTCAGTTCATGCGGTATGGACAGTACAGCACAAGGTGGAGAGGTGTGGGGGGGGGGGTGGGGGGAAGGAGATACGACATCTGTCGGTCGCGGTGATGCCGTAGGGTTGTCCTTACATAATCAATTTTTGACTTGGAAGAAATAAGACGTGATGATGCCAGCAATATTTCGACTCCAGGGTTTAAGGTTTTGGGTTTTAGGGTTTAGCGATAGTCTCGAGAACGTATCGGACGTCGTGATAGCCCAGGACCAACTGGAAAAAGCCTGTGCTCGCCTTGCTGTGGCTGACTGACCTGTATGGTAGCCACGATACGCTCTGAGTCTTCGATTCCGGATGCCTAGTCGGATTAGAGGGGCTTGTGAATGTTAATTGGATGGCCTGCTTCAACTTTGTGAGAGGAGTTGGATCAAAGATTGAGGCGGTGACATCAGCAAACAAAGACAAGAGACACGTGTGTTAGGAAGTATGTAGGGCGTTTGACACTAACGCACAGGTTTGTGAGGCGAATTATTTATGCCACACTATAGAAGAAGATAAAGTAAAAATACACGAAGATCAACGACAATCGGTCGGTAAGAGGTAGTCTCTCGCCCGGGTGGGGCGATAAGTCCAATGAAGACATGCACTCACTGAGAATTATCCTCATAAGCACGTACATAGGCCAAGTGATAATCGACTGGTGTAACTGTGATCACGCAGCCTCTTCACTACATACCTTTCTTCTTCAGGTATGTTTCCGAAAGCGGTTTCAATGTTGTTGAAAAGGTTCAGATCCTCGTCTACAGCGCTGTCCAGATTACACACGTAGACAACATAGCGAGCCGAGTTGATCCATATGCTCTGTTGTGTGATTGCATCATACGCACGAGATGACTGTTAGACTACAAGCCTTTAAACAATCATCACGCCCTTGTACTCATCAGAGCTTTGCATTGCCCTGACGATTAAGTATAAGTGACACGCTTGAGCGCCATTGGCCTTGGTTGACGACCAAGCACCAGAATATATCAAGCAAAACCCTAATATCCTCCAATCCAACACCCAACTCAGTCGCGACGTTGAGAGTTGTCCGTTTTAGTTGTCCGTGGAGGTATGTATGGGTGTGACACATGCGCGCTGGTAAAAGCATGGCAATTAGGACCCGAATGCGCTAATAAAACCCGGCCCTTCCCGAGTACAAGCGATGCGCAAGGTTGTAAGTAACATGTACTACAACTGTACTATTAAACGAAGTGTATGAGTAGTGCTCAACATATACAGCACTGCTGTATTGCACGTGTAGGTTGTAAGTGACATGCACTACAATTGTACTATTAAACGAAATGTACGAGTAGTGCTCAACATATACAGCACTGCTATATTGCACGTGTAGGTTGTAGGTGACATGCATTACAACTGTACTATTAACGTGTATGAGTACTGCTCAACATATACAGTACTGCTATATTGCACGTGTAGGTGTCCGGGGAGAAAACTTTGTCGAAGATACACAACAAAACCGAAACGTTGAGGTGAGCGCATAGACTATACCTGCACCAGCATGTTGTGTATAAATCGCACTAATTGAGCGTGAGGCATTTCATCATCGACTCTGTTGACGTAAACACTGTGTCCGCCGGTCTCTTCAAACATCTCGCGAGCGGCTGTGTGGACGGCCATATGCTCGTACACTTCTCGTTTGCCACCTATAAGCATGTGGTATAGTATACGTACTCGCTGAGTCTGGTACATACACAACAACCCTGCGACCAATGCAGCAGTCTGGGTTGCGTAACGCAACACATAGTCAACTGAGTTGAAAAGGAAGGAAATCAATTCAGATGGCCACATACCAGGTAGATGTTGCTTGATATTAGATTTTTTCTTCCTAAACTCTAACAAAGTCAATACCTCGAGCCGATCCAGCCCTGGTTTGCACCTGTTTGGTTGTGGGCTACTTCGCACCAACAGTACCCCCGCGGCACTGTAGCACGTGTCCACTAAAGGGAACATTGCCGGGGATAGCCGCAGTACATTTATGTTCTACACACGAGTGTTAACGAGTCAATCTTTGGATTAGTGTTGTAGCATGAGCCAATCTTTGGATTAATCTTGTAGTTAGTACGAGTCAGTCTTTTAATTAGTATTGCAATACGGTCGAAATGTGCACAAAGGGCTATGTTTGCAGACCCGTGCTAATGGCTGTACCACGGGTACTGATGTAGATTCGCATAATTTTAACTCACAAAGGACATACTAAACCAACAGATAAGATTGTGTGGAGTTTCAGAGCTGTTCGGTTCTACAATCCACCGTAGAACTCTAAGATTAAAGTCATTGAAAAGGTTGCGATACTGTCACACCTAGAGGCTCACACATGTCATATTATTTTATACCAACGTACATACACACATACACACACATATATATATATATATATATATATGCCCTTGCGCACATGCATGAGATCGTAGGTTACTGGCTGGGTCATCTACGTCAAAAAGTAAGTAAAATTTTCTATCAGATACAACGCACGGTATCAGTAGAATGCTAGTTCAACGGCAAACCCCTCACGTGTGCAGAGTGAGTATGACGGATCAAAGTATACACATATCCAAGATAAACAAGATAAACACATGTGACAACCCCCGATTAAGACACACCTCGTCGTATGTGTTCTCAGTGCACTTCAGCTTCTTCGTCGGTGGCGGTTCTTTGATGGCCAGCACATTCCGTACCTGCGCGACTATTATAGTCTCAGCGTCGTAGCTCTGTGTTGCATCGAACCGGTTGATGGCAAGCAACTTGGCCGCGCTTTCAATCGAGACTTTGTCGTACGAACCATCTGAGAAACTCAATGTACCTCCGGAGATATCTCCCGTCAAGCTCTCACGTTCATCTTTCAGCTTGAGCTTCGTTTCTAATTCATCTGCTATGCTATCGGTATCTCCAGAAAACACGGCAGGGGCTTTATCCGCTTGCGACTGCTGAGATGGGGCCGTTCCTGGCACATTAGCACCCACTAGCACTCCGCATAGAAAGCCGGGTGTAAAGTTGCAATCGCAAGTAATCGGATCGAACATATGTGTTGGCGACTTCTTTGGAGTTCTCCAAGACGCCAATTTGCAGGCGAGTCTGTGGGGCATTGGAATACGAGTTAGAAAGTGACAGCGCCTCTCGAAATTATCATCTTCGTCGAATTTTGGAATCAATGTATATGATACGTGAATTTTCGAGTAGAATCGAACCGAGTCCCTGCCCATCCCCAAAACGCTGACCACATACACCGATGAAAATAAGTACATTCCCAGTACTAAACAACACCTACATAAATGACAGGTGATAAAGAAGAGGCTCACTTCATACACCATACCTCCTCACGAGAGTAAAATAAATCCATTCCCAGTACTAAACATCACCTACATAAATGACAGGTGATAAAGAAGAGGCTCACTTCA